AAAAAGAAAGAAAAACAAAAAACAAACAAAGAAACGAATTTGATCCTAGGTTTTCATTTGTGACGAGCAAATAGTTTGTCCTTCGAAAAAAACTTAGCGGGGGAGGCAGGGACCTCCTAGCTGCCGAAACAGCCGGGTGTTTTCTTTTTTTGTTTGTTTTTTCAGTTTCCAGAAACGTATTGAACAAGTTACTGACGATTGCCAGTAATGCTGGTATTTTTTTTCTAAATCTTTCCAAATCTTAGACGGATAGTGGAACTTAAATAATTTTGTCATCGTTAGTGTAATGTAGCTATTTAGATATTATTGTACTTTGTGTTTTATTGTTGACGCGCTTCTTAAAACGTTGGAACTGTTTTAAACTTGTTAAAAAAACTTTACCAATTTACTGGTTAACGCCAGTAATTCTTGAAGTAGTTAAATATTTATAAAATATTACACAAATAATTGAACTTAAATCATTTAGTCATCGTGAGGATACGTTTGTCACTATTAAGAGTTCAATGTAATTTGAGATTTATTCTTGTGGCAAATTTTTTCAGTGTTTTTTTAATTTTTCTTTTTTTTTTTAACATTAGCAATTTTTAAAATGTTTAAATTGCTATGAAATATTTACCTGTGAATGCCAGTAAAGCTAGAAATAGTTACATATTGATTAAATATTATACAGATAATTGAACTTAAGCCAGGCGTTTTATATATTGCTGGAAATAATTTTTTCAGTATTTTAATCTCACTGTAAATAACTAGGTCTTTACTTTTCATTTTTTACATTTATTCCTTTTGTTTTTCTAAATTGATTAGCTGATTGATTGATTGATTCATTCATTCATTCATTCATTCATTGGATGGTTGGTTGATTGATTGGTTGATGGATTGATTGATTGATTGATTGATTGATTGATTGATTGGTTGATTGATTGATTGGATGATTGATTGATTAAATTGTGATTTGTATTATCAAAATGTCTGTTCTCTGTTGTTCCTTAATTTAATCTTAAATCTTGTTACTCCATAGCATCCGACCTGAAATAAGCAGATCTTCTTGATGGAGGTTATCGTCATTTACGCCAGCCTCTTCCCCTCAGCTTTGGGCTGTTTGCGGAAATCAAAATGTTTGATACTAAACATATTTCTCTGGGACTATATAAATCTAACGTTGCCGGTCATATAATACCAGGGAGTCAAGACAAATTTGACTTATGCCATTAACACTATTTAACATACACCACTCCAAACTATTTTACTAGAATATCCATTTTTGTTCGAAAAAAACGAGCAAAGCGAAGCCTTATTTCATCTGCCAATTAGCTGCAAAACCAAAACACCCATCTTTCAACACTTTTCGCCGGTTCCATGTTTTATCCTCCTTGCAATCCTTGATTGGCAACTGACTAAAAATATAAGAATGCTTCCAACTGTAAATAGAATATAATTTACACATATTTACAATCTTAGAAATCGTAGGCGCAAAAACAAAACAACCTGAACAACATTAAGCTACTTGTATTGGGAAACACGATAGCGTGACTGTGATGTTAAAATCACAATCAGCTGTTGTACAGTGTCAGAGACTTTGTTGCGATAAATCCCATGTTGAAGACAATTTTTGAAATGCAACAAGGTTACAACCAAAGGAAAAAACATTGAATAGTGCCGACCATTCCCTATTTCAGCAGTAGTTGCGATGGATTATAAAATCTTTTATTTACGCAAGTGATTTCTCGTACGCAAATCTCCATATTACAAGAGATCTGGCGGAGAAACAATGGCTTAGCTTTCGTGAACCATATCGTCCTCTGCACACAAACGTTTGTATTATGTGATTTTTGCCGCATACATCAGATGCATAATAAAAGTCAGCCAATATCTCTTTCCCTCAAGGCGTGTTTCTTGAACAGGTAATCAACTTACCGATGGAACAGTCAAACGTGTAGGGTATAACAGTATTTGGCCAACGTTCGCCACATTACTGGCCGCGCGGGAGTAGGCCGAGCCTTTCGTTAGGTCATCATATTTCTTTCTTTCTCCCTGGTAAAATGACAAATGCTCTCCTGGCGGGCTATGATGGTTGTCTGGATAATGAAAGCAAACATGAAAATTCAACTCCATGTAATGTCTTTTTTTTTTTTATCTCAGCAGCCTCAGACAGCTCCAAATTGTCCACCATCATCCTATTTAAGAGCCGAGGAGATTGCAGAGAACTTTGCCTTCGCCAAGACGCAAGCTTAAATGTTCGATCTCTGAAATTAAGATTATTTGAAAACGGTCTATACTGATAAAGGAAAAACACGTCCTCAATAAAATGGTTCATCTCACCTGGATTCATGTTGGCTTCCACAATTTGTTCCATCGCACCTTTAGTTTTGAATCCCTCGCCAATAGCGAACGACATAAGAACACAAAGGGCGAGAGGAAACGCTTTGGCCATTCTGTAGGTAAACGGAAAGGAGTAATTGTGAAACCGAGTGCAAAGTCATGAAAAAAATCTGGAATATATCAAGCAAAATTCTATTTACAATTACGAAATATACCGTCAATTGTATGTCATAATGATATAATTAAAAATATTACGGAGGACGAAAGCGTGAAGGACTTTCCATCGTACAAAACCACCATCTTACCAAAGAAAAACGTAAAATAACAGTTTTATCAAGGTTTATTAACTTAAGTTCGAGGAGAATGAAAGTTATTCATAAAAGAGAAAGAATGATTAAGATGGGGAACAAAGAACGACGAATACAAACGCATAATCACAATTTCACATTCAAACATCAACTGTTAGATAATTTATGTATGTTTGAAACCCATTTTTGCGCTTTGGATGATAAGCTGCAATAATATTAAAAGTTTGCTTCTCCAACTCAGCTCGTAATTTTAAGATCCAGAGATGTTGTACACCCCGCAGTTTAACACTCGTACAACCGTTCTTCAAAATCATCACGATTGCAATTCAATAGCCATTGCTGGTTTTCAGTGTCACGCCATTCAAAAAAGATCAAAATCAAAATCAAAACCGTTCAATAGATTAAGTCCAGAATCTGGGAAATGAAAGAATGTAAATACGCAAAGACTCTCGCCAAGATTCTGGTGCCCGTCCGTATGGG